TGGAATGGGTTGACAGATGCAAGGTTGCAAGTTTGAGGCCATAGCAGAAGCGTTCACAGCGTGGCCCTGTCTGATTCAACAAATCTGCCAATTCTGTTAAATACCTTGTCACAGGACACAAAAAAGGAAGGAATAACATCATTTTGGGAATGCTTTATCTCAGCAACCTCTTGACTGAATTGGTACCACAAACTTTCCATCAGCCCCTTGAAGGGCATAGCAATTTTCAGGACAACCTCCATGCAGTCATGGCTTGCAGAAGGCTTTGAAAAACTGAGATTTCAAATAGAAAACTTGACTCAGCATTACTATAGAAATCACTACTCTTCCTCCAGAACAACTCAGGCTTCTCAGAGCTTGTGGTCACACAGTAAATTCAGCTGATTTTTAAAGACAGTTTGGATTCTTTCTTTCTTTTTCCCCCCTGTGGCATCACATCACAGAGCAGAGTCATTGTGTTGATCTTGTACATCCCCATAGCAACCAAGATGGCCAATGCCTCTCTTATTGTTCCCAGTGCGAGTGAAACCTAGCTGACCTCAGGAATGAGGACAGTAACTCTGTATTGTCAAGCCATAGAGGGGTCACTATGGGGAACAGACAAACTGAAATGGTGACCATCACTGCTAAGGGCAGCCTGTGCCGTTAGTCCCTTTGAGAACAACAGGAGACGGTCATTTTGAAAAAGTTTCTACATAGAAAAGTGTTATTCTCCAGTTTCTAATGAAGAAGGAACTTCCAATTATGCAGAATAACATGGAAATGCTTTCCAATTGTCTTTCAAAGAACCTCCTGTTGTCCCAGATCTTATTCAGCATTCACCTTAGGCCAGTTGTGTGTGAACAGACAAAACCAGAATGGAGAGCAACAGGGAACAAAAAACGGGCTGGCCTGGGGTACAGCATTTCTGAAAGGGCCTGCTTCCTAATTACTTTTAACTCAGAGTCAAACTATTATGTTTAAACATGTGTTGTGGCCACAGGGTGTTGCAGAGTTGTGGGGGACATGCTACACCCCTCACATGTATTAACAATGGTGAATCCCTGCCTCAAGTGCAAAACTCAGCCCAGTCGTACCCATGGAGCTGTGATGAGTGCCTCCAACATGGCTTCTTAGTTTGGCTGTGTCTTTGTCCCGGTTCCAAGCAAGGCCCACACACTACTGGAGAGATGAAATGTCAGAATCTGGAAGGACTGTTCCTCAGTGACACCAAATGAACCATGCACCCAGTCTTCTCCCCAGGCTCTGCTGCTCTCAGCTTCCTGCCCCTGGGATCAGACCGTGTCAGAGCTCCCTAGCATGCTGTGAGCCCCTGAGTGCCCCAGTGAGTGCTAATAACTAGCTGCAGGGCTCTGACACCTGTAACAGGATGAGGTGCTGTCATTGTGGGGCAGGAAGCCACAGTTCCTTGAGTCTGGAGTCCCATGACTCTAAGTATAGCCGAGGCAGACACTGCAGGGTCACCCAATGCCACAACAAGGCAGAGGGTGACCCTGCTGCCAAAGGTCCTGTCCTTTGATTGCCAGCTTTGCAAAAGGTGGTGTCATACCAGCGATTCCTTTAATCAGAGGCTCTTTTCCAGAGAGTCCCTCTTTTCCAGAGAGAAAGCCAGTGGGCCAGATTTGCTCATTACTCATGCCAATGTCATTCTGGAAAAGCTCCCCTGCAGGTAACAGTGTCCCAGCTGGATTTCACTGGTTCAGGGCCTGGATCCCTGGCGCGTTCTTTAAACTATTTGACCTGTGTCATAATTGTAATGAAAAGAAATGCATTGTTCTCCAAAGAGAACCTGCTAGACCTGGCTTGAAAGGACTGTCTTTGAGCCAAGGCCACAAACTGCTCATGGTGATGGAAGAGGTCCAGTTCCAGGATATGGCCAGTAGAAGTGCTATCTCCTGCTATGTGCCTATCCCATAATGGCACCTGGTTTGCAGATGGCCTGGTGACTGTGGGTGCTTCTCAAGCCTTTACCCTCCGCCTGTTATACTTCACCACCACCTGTTTCTCAGAGTTGTGGTCAGTTCCGCTTCTGGAAGTCCCCCACTACAAACCCAGTGGAAACAGGAGTTCTGTAATACTTGGGGAGCTTTTATTGTTTTCTTAACATCTCCGAATCAAAGGCCCCTTTGCATTAAGTGTGCCAGAACAGAGGCAATCTGAGCTGTAAGTGCCCTAGGTGGCACCTTCGCACAGTCAGAGCCAGCTCAGAGACCCTCAGCAGGACCAGCACCTCAGTGCAGTGACAGAAGCATGGGTGTGTTGAGGCTGGCCAGAGCCAGGAAGGTGCATGGGAGTGACTTGCTTAGGTCTCAGGTGCTGTAAAGCCCAAGCGGACAGTGTCCAGACAGGGAGGCAAAGCTGCTTCCCTTTGATAAAGCTGACCACACAAACCCCATTCCCATATGTTTTGTCCCAGTGCTTACGGTTCTGAATGAAAAGGAGCAGGTAGCTAGTGCGATCCCTAGGAAGGACATGGGGGTCACCCCACCCCTTCACACTGCCCTGTGCCATAGTACATGACCTGAACAGAGCAATGTTCCTTGGAGAGATGGATTTGCTCAAACGGGCACTGGCATTTCCAGATCACTATGTTCTTTATCCTTGCACCTGACTTGTGTCCCTCTTTGGGTACTAGCTGGGATTGCCTTGCTGTAGAATTAGAGCCAAGATCCCTGCCCCAGACTCAGTCAGAGGCTCAAGTACCTGGAGCTGTTTGGATCGGTCCCCCCAGGAGTCCTTGAGAAGAATATCCTTTCCCTGTCTAGTGTGCTGAGCAGCAGCCCTCTGAATATGTATCAGAGCCTTTGACGGCCGCCCTCATGTTTGCTGGGGAACTGGTGCTGCTTTGGCACTAATGAGTGACCTGGGCTGACCCAGCAGGGAGGGTGGAAGCAGGAGAAGGCAGTAGTAGGAACCAAGTGCCTTGCAGGGCTGCCAAGGGAAGTGAGTGCTACCCAAGTGCATTATGCCATGATAGGATTTCAGGCAGCTGAGGCCTGAAGAATCTGTGGTCCCCTCCCTTGCCAGGGACAGCAGCTCCTTCTACCCCAGATTCTCCATCTGTAAACCAATGGCATGAGATGCATTGCTGATGCTGTAATTCAGCACCAACAGGCTTTGAAGTGGTTTAGTTTTCACAGGAAATAAGGCTCCTGAAGCAATGTGTGTGCCCTGGCAGTGCCAAGGGGCGATGACACACAAATAGCTCCCTTGTTTTTTGAAGAGATTTCACAGGACTAGATCCCCCACACCACTGTGCCAGGTCCCTTTTGTCTTCCAGCTTTGCAAAGTTAGTATTTGGGCCACTAGGAACTGGCAGTGCTTGGGGATATGACTGAATTGGGTTACATGGAATATAAAAGCTGCTAGCTCATTCCTGGCCAATAAACGGCTCTACCTCACTCCAGGAGGGTGGGTCTGTCCACCATAGCCTCTCCACAGTCACACTTAGTGTCCCCTAGGGAGAAGTGCAGCTCACTAGGGGGTCCATCCCATTCAGTTTACACTCAGTCTCATGGGCTGTCTGCAGGTGTTTTCTTCTTTTCAGTTATTTGAGGGTCCTCAGACCTGCTGGTCCTTTGAAAGCAAAAAAGCCTAAATAATGCAATATTCAGGCCACACAGCTTCAATCATGGAGTGTCAGGAGCATGGAAATGTAAGATTCCAACATCATTGGATTACACTAGACATATGCACCCCACCCCTATGCATATTCACAGGGAAAGACACATGCTCATGTGTACCTGCACATGCATATGTGAGTGTATACACACAGATACGCCCTCTCTCTCACAGCTCAATTAGAGTGGATGCTAGAACCTTAGCTGTGTATTTATTCTGTTCCTGTTTCTCTGGCTAAATACGCAGCTTCATACCATTGTTCACATAAAAAGGAGCCCTGCAGACCCTTAATCTCAGCATTTCCTGACTTCTTTAATTTTCATTGTATAGCTTTAGGATTTAAGTAACCTAGATTTTTGCCATTCATTTGTAAAATATTGCAAAGGAAGTGGATGCTTCCCATTGACCCCAATTGCTGTTGTAGGAAGAGTTTGCAGTCAGGGAAAATTTACTCTTTCTCCCCGCAGTGTGGCAGGGAAACCAGTTTCATGGGATTGATGTCTACTGTACCTTTGTTTAACACAAAGCTCCCAGGGAGGAAAGGCAGCTATAGAGTGGCTCAGCCCAGTTCTCCCCACTGGCTACCCCCCATCCCTCCCTACAAAACCCCAAACTCCTAGTCCCCACATCAGGGCTTAATGAAATCCTAATGGTTACTTTAAAGCTAAATGAAGTTTAGGCTTTCTAAGCCAAGCAGGGTATCAACAGCTTCCTGCTTGTTTCTGTACTCACTTGGCCAACTTGGCATCACACTGGGGCATCAACAATTGACACACGCAGAACCAGTTTGGTTTAGCTTCAGTTCTGTTCTGAAGCTGCCCCTGAAATACAGCCATGTCACTGAGCTGACAGAGGCCTGTTCTGGGACAGTGTACCCATTTTCCCCACAGCATAGCCACATTGCTACAACTGCCCCGTTGCAAAGACCACAAGCAAGTCTGACCCCCAGGATATGATGATCTCCCCTGGGGCACTGGCACACAGGTACACAGGCTCTCAATGCAGCTAGCAGCCTAGTCATGACATCTTGGCATACCAGCCTTCCAGGAGTGGGGATGTTCCATTGTGGTGGGTGGGTCAAAAAAACTCCCCTTACCCAGCAGGCCTGGGCAAAGTGAAACTGAGGAGGATGATGCTGGGCTCTGCAGGAGGTGGCATGTAGCTGACAAAGGCAGCAGGTTGGCAGAGGAAGGGCCTTCTGGGATGGAACAGGAAGGGATGCTCCATGGCCAACAATGCATGGGATTGTACCCCAGGCAGGACAATAGCTGTGTGGGCAAGGAGAGATGGTGCCTGCTGCTGGTGCTTGCAGCCTTAGGTCCTTCTCCCGCACTTTCCCTCATGCAACACACTGCAGCAAAGCTTGGTGTGATTCGTTCCAATATAATCTTTATTTGGGAGATCAATTAGGGATTGACGAGGCCGGGTATAAAACATGATCACCGTCACGACCAGCAGCAGGAGGAATCGGCAGAGCAGAAAAAAAATGCTACCAGGCCCTGTTCTTCCTGGCCCTCTCCCCTGCCCAGTGTGTACATGCTTCCCGGGTACTGGCCTGAGTTCCCCTGTGGGCGCCCAGGGCCACCTCATTCTCTGCAGAGGGGCTGGGAGCAAGGGGATCTCCTGCAGCTTATTTCTCAGGGGTTCACAGACAAATCTGGCTACCTTCCAGCCCTCCCCTTCCTCTCCCTTGGTGTCTTATGCCACTAAAGGCCAACTATGAGGACCTCTGGAATGGGTGGATGGGTTGCTCCTCTTCATTAGCTGGCTGGGGCAACACTGCTGATTGGTATGGGAGTGGGAGGGTGTCTCTCTATCTCACTCAGCAGAGCCAGCCCAGTGGACATGGGCTCCAGATGCATGCCTGCTTTCAGCTAAGGTAGCAGTCAGGCCCCATGCACAGACAAAGCTGCCCCCAGGGCTGAGTAGCCCCCAAATCCCAAGCCTTGCTGTCTTTCAGGACACTGTGCTGTGCCTTACCCAGCGGGGTGCTGTTGTCACAGCCTCTCTCAGGGGAGCACCTGCAAAATATGGCTTTTTGTTTCTTTTTTGCTTTCTTGCTTTTTGGCAGCAAACTTTCCTCCAAAATGTTGTGAAGGAACAAAGTCACTGAGAACAGGGCAGTTGCTTCCCCTGCCCCTCCACCCGCCATGGGAACACCAGGCATGTTACTGTGCCAGCTGCTCCTTCCCTCAGCCCCCTTGATGCTGTTCCTTCCATGAAGGGGACTTTGTTGGAATCAAATCCTTCTCTCCCCCACCTCTGCAGTTAGTATCACAACAAGGGAAGGGGGTGACCTTGGCAAGGACTAGCTACCCCCAGCTCATTCCCACAGCCCTGCTCAGAAGCTAGCCAGACTCCTCCCTCACTGGAGGGGACCGCCATGCTGACGGAAAGAACATGGCATATCCAGCTCTAAGGAAGGCCTTAACCTCTGTACTTAGAGCCAAACTCTCCATCCACTGGGTGGGAGCTGCGGCCACGGGGGAGGCAGGGGGGGGCACCAGGGAAGGGGACCCTCCCACACACACGCAGAACCCACAGAAGGATGATCCCAGCTCATCGCCTTGATTAACATGAACAATCCCAAGGATGGAGTGTCCTGGAATGGGTTGGGAAAACAAAGATCCTCCAAAATGAGGATAAACTGGAGCTTCCCTCAAGGGCCCGCGGAGGAAATGGGACACATGTCCATTAGTAACTGTGGGGCCATGGCAACGGTTTGAATTGGCTACAATTACTTAGAGGCATTTCAGCTTGGCCACCGAGATGAAAGCTTTGGCAAATAACTTAGAGAAAACTGGCTGCCCAGTGGTCCTCCCTCTTTCCCCTTCCCCCCTCGCCCCCCCAGCCTCTTTCTGCTTCCTGTGAGGCAGGCTCGGTTCGCACGCACTGCCCAGCTCAGCACTGGAAAGCTCCAGGCTGTCCTCCCCGTCACCTCCGTGCGTCGGGTGCACTGTTCCCCAGGGTGCCTGCAGTGGCATTCAGCTGTGTTGCTGGCAGGGAAGCCTCCTGGGCCAAGTTGCTCCACTCAGACCACATCACATGAGCCACAGGAAAGAAACAGAAAGAATGCTGCCCAGAGTAGTGAGTGCAAGGGGGGCACGGTGCCTGGTGAGACACAGGGAAAGCGTGAGCCACAGAAAGGGAGCACAGGAGTGCCCGGACTTGCTGATAGACACCCGCTGCCAGTCCCAATGTCCCTCTCACTGAAGCTCAGCCAGGGCACAAGGGGAGCTCCTCATCTCAGCTCCCTCCTCCACCAGTAGACACAGCCAGTGGTTTCCTGTCAGCAAGGGGGACTGCATTCCCCCCAGCTCTTGCCAAAGCCTGAGCCATGAACAGCCTCTAGCCCAGCAGCTGGAGATCCCTTGCATTACCACAGGACCTTGGGCTACAGCAAAGATCTCATCCCCTGTGGTGCATGGGGAGAGCTGATGCGAGGGTCAGGCCTGTTGCTGTCAACTCTGGGTCCTGTTGTCCCCTGTGCTAGGCCAATGCCAATGCTCTTCTCTCACACGGTACTGCCGTTTGATGCAGCGAGTGGTGCGGGGGGAAGGCAGGGCAGGGCACGCAGGTTACATGATGGTGCAGGAAGACAGCGGATTTCGAATGTGGCAGGTACAGGCCGCCCCACAGTACTGGCGAAAGGTCTGGTAGCAGCTGCGGTCAGCATCGCTGCTCCACTGCACAGGGTTGGCAGAGAGGGCCTCAGCAGGCAGTCTGTTCAGGATACTGGTGTTCACCGCCAGTGCAGCCAGCCCGTAGTCAGTGAAGAGCACAGTCTCCCGCTTGCAGGTGGGGCAGGAGATGAACTTGTACTTCGGACAGGACTCATAGAGGATTTGCAGGCATTCCTCACACACGGAGTGGAGGCAGGAGAGGATGCGGGGCCGCTTGTTGGTAAAATTGTACATGTGGCCACAGGTGGGGCATTCCAGGGGCTCGCATGGCGTGGAAGGGTGCAGCACATACTGGTTGACGATAACCTCATCTGATGGTGGCTGACGGTGGAAACAGACCTCTGAGCTGCCCTTGCGCTGCCCTTGGTATATTCGCTCTCGTCGTGGCAGAGGTGGAGTCCGGGGCAGCCCTAGAGAGCCAGGGTTACTGTCCAAGGCAGGGATGTCTCCACAAGCTTGATTGACAATGATCTCAGACTCCGATGGCCAGGCACGCTTGGCCATGAGTGGTGGCTCCCGGCGGGGTGCAGGAGTGTAGCGTGACTGGGAGCCCTGCAGCTCTGAGAACTTTTCCGGGTGGATGATCTTCATCGCCTCCATTTTGATGATGACCTGTTGCCCTTTCAGACACGACATGAGTATTGTCTTTACATTACTGTCCACTGCTCTGGGATCTCTGAGGGTCGCCTGCATGAGGCTAGAACATGCTGGCAGCATGCAGAGCTTTCAATCTCCTTCTGGCAGTAAAGTGATAGCGTGGAAGAAAGCCGCTGGAGCGGGGACACATCCTGGGAGAAAGGTGCCAACCAATGGGGCCAAGTGTCCTTCTTCTGCCTCAGGATTGCAGTCACCCCAATTTCACCCACTGCCCTCAAGTTGCCACTGGCAAGGCTGGAGGCGTGCACAGGAAGTTGCTGCTCACAATAATATCCTGCAGAGCAAAGCCGCTAAGGACATGCTCCTGTCACAAACTGGATAATCAAAGTGGCTGCTCCCTGCAGTCCCTCTCTGTCACTCAGAAGACCTCCCACTCTTTGCTGGCTGTCACTTTCCAAGCCAGATCAGCAGCAACTGTAAATAGCAAACTGTGACAAGAGGCTTAGGGAAGGCAGGGCTTTCCCAGGGCTTTGTGCTGCCTTGGGAGCAGGTGACTCAGGCTTGCAATTCATCCCAGGACGGCTCCCAGCCAGAATGTGATCACTGCAGCCTGTGCTGAGGGCTGCCTGCACCTTCCTCCAGGTGCCCCACCCCTATCCTGCCTGTATTCCTGTTTCTCTGCAGGATCCTTGCAGGCCAAAAGAATGTGTTTGTGAATTCCTTTGCTCTGACTTTCCTGTCTCTCCCACTTGCAGTCACTGACATTCGCGGAGCCTACAGCTCCCCCAAGCCAGCAGCTGAGCATAAGCCCTGTAGCCAGGCAGGATCCCCAACTGGTGGAGAGCAGAGCTGGCTCACCTCTGTAGTTGCATGTTCCTCTGCTGGGGGTACAAGGGGCTCTCCACGCTGGCACAGATCAGCCCCAGTGCTGTGGCCCCAGGCTCAGCTTGGTGCTCCCTGCAGCGGCTCACAGGAAAGGGCTGGAAACAAAAAGCAACAGGAAGTTGGAGACTCAACTCTTGAGAGGTTTTTAATCTGCATACTTTAATTGGGAGCTATGATCGGCTCTCTGCTCCCCCATGTGCAGACCCCAGTGGCTCCTTCCATCTACCCATACAGTTGATTTGTACTGGCCTAAGAAAATGGGAGAAGCCAGGCATTTCCCACAGGCCTATTCTCGCTGCTGGTACCTGCCTGTCAACTGAGCCGAGGAAGAGGAGGGTTGTCCTCTCTGCTGCTCACCCTCCTCTTCCTGCTGCCCTTCTGCCCCAGTGAAGTCTCAGGGCCCCTTCTCAGGGGCTTGGGGTCCTCTCCAGCTTTGGGAATACACAGGGTGCTCTTGTCTCATGGAGCACTCTGTCTTTCTGTCACTCTGCCTCCATGGCTCACTGCCCACCATTATCAGCCCCTCCTTCTGCTCTGGCTTTGCTCTTCTCTTCCTTCCATGTCCCCATCTATGTCCTGGAGTGAGGGCTGGAAGGCAAGGGGAGCACAGTATTTCCATATTTCAGAGGGCAAATGGGTGATGCTCTGTAACCACTATCCTCTAGCCTATGGTCCTGCTTCTCCTCTGGAAAGCGTGATGGAGCTCTCCATCCTCCTCTCCATTACCCCAGGCCTGCTAAATTCCTGTATTGCATTACTGGGGTGCTGTCCTTAGTTTGCTCCAGTCGAACTCTCCAGAAGCTGGCTGAGAGTCCACTGACCACCCAGAGGGGGCTGTACAGACCCAGGACTGTCCAAGGGACTAGCTGACTACGGGACAGCCTGAGGGGCCTGCGTGGGTGCAGTGCCAGATCCCAGGGACAAATGAAAGGACTGGTCAAGAGACTTTGTCACATTCCAATCTACCAAATGTCTTGCTCACCCCAGATCTCTCAGCATGAAGCTGGGTGGCAGAGCCTATGCATTAGCTGGGCCTGAGAGAAGAGTATTTGGCCTGCACATGCCTGTATTGCAGACAGCCTAGGGTTGGGAGAAGCAATAAATCCTTGTCAGCAGGCTACCCATGCCTGGGCTGCAATGCTCCACATTACCTCTACCCAGAGAGAGAGAGAGAGAGAGAGAGAGAGAGAGAGAGAGAGAGCACAGCTCCCACTGGCACATAGCACAATGCCCACCCCCTACACCCCTACAATACGTGCTGGCAGGCAGTGTGCACATTGAGATACACCATCCAGCCTGACGGGTTGTGCTCCCAGCACACATTAGCATGCAGCACGCACACTCACACACTGCACGTTGCTTGCTGTTGGGCAGTGCTGACATCAACACAACGGGCACAGAGATACACAGCACACACTGTACACAGAGGCACAGCCTTTACGACACACACCATGGCGAGCCACACAGCATACGCTGACACACAGCCCAGACACGCTGCATTTATACTGACACACACAGACATATGGCATTCACATTAACACACATGGGCTGGTATACAGGATGCATACACCTCTTAATACACAGCTCGCACAAGGATATACATGCATGCAAATATGCTAATGCACAGCTTTCATACTGACATGCCACATGCATGTACATGTACACACACAGACATGCTCACACACACACACGCACATACAAACATGCTTTTGGAGGCCTATTCTGCACTGACACATGCTAATAAACAGGTGCAGAGGACAGTGGATGCATGCTGTTACCTGTGATGGGCCACAGCTCTGGGAAGTCTTGCTTGGTTTTCAAGGAGGATCCTTGCGCTGCGGTACCTCAGACTTGGCACCCGTTGCCCCTCTCTGTCCCAGACAAATCGCCAGTGGATTGGAGGCCCCAGTTGCTAGAGGTTATCTGAAAGGCAGATGGGATGCAGGTTCCAGCTCTGTCTGCACAAAGTCCCAGCTCCCCAGGGACACTCTTGATTATCCACACCCTCCCCAAATCCAGCCTGTCTCTGTCTCTGGTCCAGCCCAGCTTCTCAATGGCTGCCTCCAGCAAAAGCCTGTTCAATGCAGCCTCCTCTGCTGGAAAATAGACAGCCACCCAAAAAGGCGACTGTCCCTTAAGAAGCAGGACACAAAGGCAGAGCTCACAGATACAGGGCTCTCCTCCCACAAGTTCCAGATGTTCTGCAAGAGCCAGGAGTCCAAGCTACCTGGAGGCAAATAGGATCTGATCCCTGGCAGATAACACTGCTGATGTTCCAGCCAGGATGCCAGGTCCCCAGGCGCTGCTCCTGTATGCTTCTTAGATCCCAGGATGTGACTCCTTTCATAGGCTATGATGATGAAGGGCAAACTCCTCTTCCAGGGGCTTTCGTTTCCAACCAGACTCCTTTACTCTCAGCAGCAGAAAGAGAGCAAACGCCCCCTCTGCTCTCTGGGCAGAACGCAGAATTTTGTTTCCCCAGATAAGAAGCTGATGCAACACTATGTCTGCAAGTGAACAAGATATGTGCAGGCTACAGAACTAGCAGTGGCACACGGGAGATGGCAGGCTCTCCTCAGCCCTTTCTTGTGCTCACCTCTGCAAGGGCAAGGTCCTTGGCAGTGCAGCAGGTGCAGGGCTGGTTGGAAGAGGCGGCCTTGCTGAATCCTTTCCACTGCTAGAGGATCCTGCCCCCAGGGATGCTTTGTTTCTTTGCTGCTCTCTGCTGCTGTAGCAGCCTCTCCCCCGCAGGATGCTCTGTGCTCAGGCTCTTTTCCTTGCCACAGAGGGTGCGGGTCCTGCCTGGATGCTCGGAGCCAGGGAGCTGTTTCCTAGCTGCTCTCTCTCCCCCTCTTGCTCGGTGTCTGCAGTGGGTACTGCAGTGATGCAGCCAGCTCACATTTCTCTCAATCAGCAGCACAGAGCCCAGTGGGCCGCAGTGCCCTAGCGCCCAATGCTGGCTCCCTCCCACTCTTCATTCATGAGCCATTTCCCTCCCTCAGCAGCATTTCGCTCAGCTCCTCAGCCTGCGCAGCTGTGGGCTCTGGGCAGGATGCTTGGGGCGTGAGCTCCCACTCAGGCGGGGGGGGGGGGGGGGTTTTCCCCCGTGTGGCCCCCCCCGGGGGGGGGGGGGGGGGGAATTTTCCCCTAGTGATGGCAGGCTGGCTGCAGCCCCAACAAGCTCTCTGCTAAGCGGGTGAGGAACACAGACTGCGGTCTGGGCTTCCTTCCTCCCCCTCAAGCTTGCTTTCCGCCATTTGAGTCGCCTGCCAGCACCATACAGAGTCCCTCTGCTCCCCTCACCACACAAGGTCAGCCTTAGAGCCTCCCCACAAATACATATGCCACTGTCTATCTCCTCCCCTTGTTCTTAAAGGGACAAAAGCCTTTCGGGGGGGCCCATTGGGCCAGCGTGGCTGTTGCCAGAAGGTCCATTCATAGAGTGCAGTGCTGCCTTGCGCCCCCGGGGAGTCTCCGTCCGCACACACCAGGGCAGAGGCAAGTGCGGAGCTGGGGTCCGTGCTTGGAAGGGGCCTGCGGTGACTCAGCAACTCACTGGCAAACCCGCACGTGTCCCTGCTGTAAGTATCTCACCAGGGACAGGTTTCTCAAAAGCCCTGAGCCTGGGGACGGCCAGGCCATAACCCCTATAGCCCGCGCCTGGGTATGGCCCGACCCAGCTGATACAAGACAATCCCCATAGCCAGGAGTCCTGGTAACCCAGACGCAGCCTCTCTGAACCATTAATTCCCGCATCTGGGGCTCTGGCAGTCCCACTTGGTATAAGGCAACAAAACTTTCACCTGAGGCTCTGGAAATGGCTAGGCCAGTTCAGCCTCACACAATGGCAGGGAGACAAACACTCTTTGAAAATAACTCTTAGCCTCTGCAGCTGCCCTTGGTTGCGGGAGAAGGAGGTGCCACCCGGGAAAGCTGGTAAGGAAAGACTCTTTGTCTCCTCTGTTCTTTCACATGGGACAGGGTTACAAATGTTCCCAGCATTGTCACGCATCACATGACAGGACTCACTCAGCCTCGTCTTCTTTCATTCCTTCTTTGTGACTTCAACCAAATACAAAGAAGGCAAAAGAGCCAAACTCAACAGCCACACCCCATCTGAACAACTATACCCTGCAAGCCATGACCATGACCACTACCCCAATGAACATACATAACTAAATGCTATACCCTCAGCAACAGCAACTCCCTAACTCAACGGGCACACTCAATCCAAATAGCTACACTGTAACTCAACAGCTACAACTGAAGCCAACAACCATACTCTAATTTATTTGCCACTGTCCAACCCAGCCATTACACAGGTAACAAAGCCCCTCATGGATATGTCTCAGACAGAGGCCAGGAAACAACCTGACCCATGTTAATTAAGGTGCAAATTAATTTACCCATGTAAATTAAATTCAGATCTGCTGGGTAGATCTCTGACCTAGAACAGCAAC